ATTGTGGGGCTGGCGCGGGATCGGGCAGTGTTTCGTTCTGCTGTGCATGGGGTCGCTATGAGTTGGAAACGACTCGACGGCACTTAACAACAACAACAACAAAGAAGGAGGCTGGAAGAATTTCTGATGTTTATCTACGGAGACTCTGTTATGTAATTGAAAAGGTCCCTTTTCTGAGTTGTAGGTTGATCTGGCTAAACAGCTTACTTTCATATTTTGATATTTTAATTTGAAAGCCATCACTTTATACTGTTGCCTCATATAAAAGGAACAAACGAACAACTCACTGCATTGACAGGAGTCCGACTCATAACAACACCCATGGAGTGTCCCAGGCTCTCTCTCTTTACGAAAGCAGATTCTTCGATGGAGTGGCTGGCGGTTTTGTTAGGGGTTCAATTTAAAATAATAGCCACTATAATGTCCACTTTTGGATAAAAGAGGTTATTTAGGCTAGCCGACTGCAGGGAGCTGAAGCACACTCCTATGCTGCAGCAACAAGTCTGATTTCAGGCAGGCTTTAGAAGGCAGGCAAGCAAGCGATAATACAGAAGCAGAAGCTGCAGTTTCAAGGTCTTAGAGTGCGTGCTTCGGCACAGGCATTCATCCAGGGGTGAGGGGAGTTAGTTTGATAACCACCTTGGAGCACATGCTCTAGCACAGGTCACCCCAGAGTACATGCTCTAGCACAGGTGTCCATCAAGGGGTGATGGGAGCTAGTCCTGATAATCACCCCAGAGTACGTGCTCTAGCACAGGTCTTCACTGAGGGGTGATTTAGCTGCTTTATGTGCCTGGGATGGAGGAGAAGAAAAAGACAAAAGGTGGCACTCCCTAACTAACCAGAGTGGAAGCAGGATGAGATGTTTACTTCAGCCACATAAAATGGAGTTTTAGCAAGATATTGCCAGCCATAGCTGAGTTACAAAATAGAGTTACAAAATGGAGTCAGTTACTCAGTTTCAAACCACCAACGAATGCTTTAACCACTACACCATTCTCCTTTTAATCCTTAGCTTTGTGTGTCTGCCAGGTCGTTAACTTTGTCTTTCAAAATCACCACAATGTAAAGTCTATTTTAGAACTTTTTGAAGTGATTCGATGGATTTCTTCTGGTTACTTTCCACATAACAGCACAAAGAGAAGCATTGGTGGTTCAATGGCAGAATTTCCACCTCCCACGCAGGAGGTCTGGGTTCGATTCCCAGCCAGTGCAATTCACTATTGGCTCTTTTGTTTAGGCAGAGATTTCAGGCCTTCTCCCTACAATACAGGATTATCTATACTACAGGCAAGTCCGGCCATATAGTGGTTGTTGCAGATCAGAGCAGTGGCAGCAATAGGGCATTTCTAGAGGAGCAGACGTTCAACAATCCCCTTGAACTGGCACTTCACTACAGAGCAGGTATTTTCATCCTAGAGCTGGACAGCAAGCCACGAATAACATTTCAAGGGAATCAGGTAACATCTAGAATTCACTTACAAAAAGTGTGGCGATCCCATGTGCTGGCATTTGAGAGATACTGTTTATGGAAAGGGTTGAATCAATACTACTACCAACAATGGCAGACACTCGGATGCCAAGAGTAACGCAGTGGGTAGTGATGATTTTACTCTTTCAAGCAGCACCAAGCTCCCAGCTATACAACGTATTTTATTGTCAATAGGGTCACGTGGGAGCTTCTAGGCTTAGGTCCCCCTGCTGTGGGCAAGACAAAGCAGATGAGAAGTCTGTTTATGGCCGGTATGTGGGAAGGTCTTCGGACCTAAAGAGAACAATGCATTTTAAAATGATGGGACCGTCCCTGGGTGGGCTTGAACCACCAACCTTTCGGTTAACAGCCGAACGCGCTAACCGATTGCGCCACAGAGACGTTGGCGATACCGTGGAGAACAGTGACTATTCAGTTACTACTTGGCAGAGCCCCCACGTTCTGTGGTACAATTGCTCAGGCTCCAAAGTCTCGGGAAACCGGACAGGTTGGGGCCAGGAACAGCGCAGCAATTCACTTTCGAAACCTGTGCCCAAGGCGATTCCGAAGCTAGAAGAGTAGCCAGACGGCCTTCGCCCCTCCTTGCACTTCACCCGCCGCAGAAGCCTGTGATCAAGCCTAGGCCTAGTGGGGCCCTAGACATGCTGCGTCCAGCGGCGTGTTAGTTTGCTTTGCCTATCCCCATCCGCCGGCGTCTTAGAGCGTCCCCGTGCCCCCTGGCCCTGCTCCATTTGGTTGAAGTCGGTGAGTGCCCAGCGGAAAAAGAGGCGGTGGGGGAGGGAATTGTGAAGACAAGATAAAGCAGGAACGAGTGGGCGATGACTAGACGTCCAGGAGCACTGTGCGGAGAGACAGACTGGGGAGAAGACAATGGCTTTTATTACGTAGCAGAGTGGGGAGGGAGAGAGAGGGCGAGGAAGGGAGAAAAAGCAGAGCTCCCCGCACTTGTCCAGGAGTGTTACTGTAAAAGTTTGCCTAGGAGTCCTTTCGGACTCCTAGCGACTCCTAAGTTCGACAGAAAGTTTCAGAGGCTCTTCTGACATCCATTTTGGTCTTTTCTTTCCTGTCTTTTTAAGGACCTTTTGCTTTCTTCGTATATGATGTTCTTGATGTCATCCCTAACTCCTCTAATCTTTGGTCACTGATGTTCAATGAGTCAAATCTGTTCTTGTGATGGTCTTTAAATTCAGGTGGGATATAATCAAGGTCGTATTTTGGCTCTGGTGGACTTGTTTTAGTTTTCTCCAGCTTCAACTTGAAACTTGCCTATGAGCAATGTTCTGTATTACCTTCCCCCAATTCTGACATCTAAGGAGTAACAAATTCTGACATCTCAAAAACATCCTACCCTAAAGATTAACATATCATGAACCTTCACTATATTTCTTACTGTTGCAAGTAATTAGGCTCTAGAGTATTTGAGCCCATTTGAGGCTCAGCTGTAGGACCATAAAAAAACAAAATCTGTCTCATATGGTTGTTGGGAGCCACTTGAATAATTTATTTTAGAAGAATCTCCACAAGGTTGGTCCCTATGAGGTGGAAATTAAAGATGTCATCTCACAGGCCCAGCTTTTCCAAACTGCTGTACCAGTCCATCATCTCTAATCACAACTACTACTCTTCCCCTCTGCACTCTCCCTCCCACCTTAGGGTTTGCTCTTTCACTGTTACATCTCACACTGCTCACTAACTGCCAGGCAAATGGCTCATGCAGCTGAGATGCTGGCAAGTCCCAAAACAGAGGGTCAGGCAGCAGTCTTGGGGATGCTCTCACTCATGTGGTTGGGTTGGCCAGCAAACACAAAGCAGTAAGACGACTGGCTGCTGTCTCAACTCCCGTGAACCGCAGGTCACATAATGATGGACCACGTGCAGGATCCAGAGCGACACAGCAAACTTTTCCAGAGCATTTGTATACATTAGATGAGATCATGTCCTCAAGGAAACTTAGGGTAGTGACTTGAGTCACACCCTCTAGTAAGGCAGTGCCTCAAGATTTATCCCTGTCTAATCTGGCCTCATTAACATAACAGACCACTCACTACAAAATGGACCATAACCACAGGGGTAAAACCCACTACCATTGAGTTGATTCTGACTCGGTGATCCTGTAGGATAGGGCTGAGTGGCCTCCATAGGGTGTTGAGGCTGTAAGTCTTTTTGGAAGCAGAATGCCAAATCTTTCTTCTGTGGAGCTTGTGATCTCTCACACAGGCCTGGATGCTAAGATTTACGTTACCTCACAAAATGGAGGACTGTACCTAGAGGGGCCACATGAAGTAATTCACGACAGGGCAAGAGCACTGAGATATTTTACAGGGTGCCAAACAATGTAAGAATCATGGAATTAAAATGGAGATGCATTTTATATTTAGCATCTATTTCTTTTTTAGGATATTTTTAAATGTACCAAGTATTTTCACTTGAATTATAATTTCATCCACGTACAGCACTTTTTTGCACTTTCCCATCCTTCTGGACTGTTCACTGTTTTTTCAGGAGACCAAGTTTATTCACCTCTCTCACTCGCCTTTCAATATCCCTTTTTAACCCAATTCTCGCCATCTTCACAAAGAATGTGAATATGTCCTGCTGACAGCAAGCCCGTCTCCTCACTTCTTCAGCTTTCTCCCCCTTTTTAAAACAGAAGCATCACATATAATTTCATGCTCCTTTTCACCATCTGCCCTACATCACTTCATAACCAAGTTCACAATTTCACTTACATCTGCTCAGCTTTCCCTAAAGTGATCTTTCAAACTCTCATAACTGCATGACCTGTTTGATCTTAGCCTTTATTCTCTGTCATTCTCATTATCTGCCCCTGGGTCCTCTGAGACCGCTAAATGCTCACTTTTCAGACAATAATCTCATGTATGAAATGAGGATAATACCTCATTTCATTAACAAGTTGTGGGGAAGATTAAATCCGATAATGCCTGTGGCCATGCCAGACACGAGTCTTGCACCAGAAAAGATCCTCAGCACATGCAGGTGAAAGCAGAGCCCCTACTGCTCTGCCAGGGTGGCTGGTAGTGTTTGCTCATGTCTGCTCTTTCCTCCAGCCAGTCTCTCCACTCTCCTGGGCTTCCACAACATGAGCAACGTGAGCCAGCCCTTCTGTCTCAGTCACTACTGAGCATGCTCAACTGCCATGCATCCTTGAGCAAGAGACCACACCAGATCAATCAGAAAATGGAAGGATAGTTTGACTCCAGATTCTGCCAGCGATGTGATTAGCATTCAACGGTCCTGACCTTCAAGCCCAGGGCCCAGAAGTAATAGACTCCATGGCTCTTGGGTCCACGTACTCTTATTGCTCACTTACTACCATTATTTCTTTCCATTTTCCATGTTTGCCTCAGAAGGAAGGTTGGGCAGTCTACTTCCATAGTGATACTCCCTCAAAACCCAAGGAGGGGTTGCTATGAGTCAGGTCTGACTCCACGGCACATAACAACAACTACCATTGTTGTTGTTGTTAGGTGCCGTCGAGTCACTTCTGACTCATAGGGACCCCATGCACAGCCGAATGAAACACCGCCCGATTCCGCGCCAGCTCCATGAACCTTGCTATACTTGAGCCCATTGTCACAGCCACCGTGTCAATCCATCTTGTCAAAGGCCTTCCCCTCTTTCGTCGACCCTCCACTCTACCAAGCATGATACCCTTCTCTAGAGAATGGTCCCCTCTGACAACATGACCAAAGTAGGTGAGACGAAGTCTGGCCATCCTTGCTTCCAAGGAGCATCTCGGCTGCACTTTCTCCAGGACAGATCTGTTAGTTCTTTTGGCAGTCCATAGTATCTTTAGCATTCTTCGCCAGCACCACAACTCAGAAGCATCAACTCTTTTTCTGTCTTCCTTATTCATTGTGCACCTCTCACATACATACGAGGCGATTGGAAATATCATGGCCTGTGTCAGGTGCATCTTGGGAGCTCTGGTGGTATAGTGCCTAAGGCACTTGACTACTAACCAGAAGGCTAGCGGTTTAAACCTACCAGCCACTCCTCGGAAGGAAGATGGGCCAATCTACTTCTGTAGTGATACTGCCTCGGAAACCCAAGGAGGGATCCAACTCAACGGCACATAACAACAACAATAGTCAGGTGCACTTTAGTACTCAAGGAGACATCCTTGCTCCTCAGTACTTGAAAGAGTTCCTTCGCAGCCGACCTACCCAGTGCTACACGTTGTCTAATATCCTGACTGCTGCTTCCATTGGCCTCGATTGTAGAAGTAAGCAACGTTAATTCTTTGACAACCTCAATCTTTTCTCCATTTTTTATGATGCTGCTTATTGGTCCAGTTGTGAGGATTTTTGTCTTCTTTATATTGAGATGTAATCCATACTGCAGACTATGTTTCTCAATCTTCATCAGAAAGTGCCTCAAGTCATCCTCACTTTAAGCAAGTATCTCAGGTTGTTAATGATTCTTCCTCCAATCCTGATGCCATGTTTTTCTTCATATAGTCCAGCTTCTCGGATTATTTGCTCAGCATATAGATTGATAAGTATGGGAAAAGGATACAATCCTGACGCACTCCCTTC